GGCTGGGAGCCCAGCTCCAGCTCACGAGACACACACAGTGGGTGACAGCCAGCAGCTTTTCCATGACTCCCCTCCTAACCACATCCTCCAGTTCTGAGGAGCAACACGGACTTTCCTTTCTGGGCCTGTGTGTCAGAGCAGAAGGACATTCACAGCCCCCTCTGAGCCGCACCTTCACCCATCACGTGCAGTAACACTCTCCTGGGTTCTGTCTTACCCCCAGATCTGATGGAGAGCAGCACAAAGCAGGGGACCAAGGTAGCAGACCTGGTTTTGAGTGGCATCTCCTACCTGGACACCCGCAGGGAGTTCTGGCAGCAGCAGAAGCCGATTTACGCCCGCGTGCGGGAGCGCAAGCTGCGGCAGGGGGGCGCGCGGGGCCAGGACACGGAAACCAGCTGAGGTGGGCAGGTACCTTGTGAAGGCCATGGAGGACATCGACATGTGTAAGTGTCCTGGCTGGAAGCAGTAACAACAGGAGGGTTGGCACGTGTAATTATTTGCTGTAGTAATTACAGACCAGAGCAGAAGCGGTGCAAGTATTAACAAACGCTAGGAGGCAGGTCTGGGGAAGTGTTTGCTTTTGTGTTCTTCACCTTTCCCAACACTCTCTTGGATACACAACCCAACACATGTTTTTATCAGCTTTTTCTGTGCTTCAGGTCTTGACAATCATTTTTCGGGACACCACTTAGCTATCAAAGCCTGGCTGGCCACTGCTGCATGCAGCAGATGCCTCTGGTCTGGGAATCAGAAGTTGTTTTCTGAGAGAACACAGGTCACTGGAGATAATTATGTCTATAGTTCAAAATACCATGTAACCAGAATCACTTCCTCTTACTTACTGTGGTGAAAGTGATTTCCAGGAGCACCAGGGTGAGGGTTGGAAGCACCATCTCCCAGGGGCAGATTTCCTGGAGGTTGGAGGAGGAGTGTAGGAGGGACGTGGAAACTTGGGGGCTCCTTTCCCAAGCTCTGTCTGAGGCTCACACAACTGCATTTAGTTTTACCTCCCTGGCATCCTGGTGTCCACACACCAGCATTACACTTTTCTCTTTGTCTGTAGTGCTGGCTGGCGACTGCCCTGAAGAAAGCTGCAAGAAAGCTGAGTGTTTGCTAAAAAAAATACAGACGTGGTCAGATGAGGAAGTTCCCAACAAGACCGAACTGATTGGAAACCTCCACAGCTGCATTGGGAATGCTCAGCTAGAGATGGGCCAGGTGAAGGCAGCTCTGCGGAGCCATAAAATGGATCTGGAACTTGCCAGGCAGAAGTAAGTGCTGAGGAGTTCAGATGGATGGGGAAAAGAGGAAGAGTACCTCTGTTAAGATTTTAGCAGGAGGTGATGTTGTAATTCTCACCTGGAGATTTATCAGGGCAACACATTCAGACTCTGCCCAAGCCTCATGGCCTCTAGGGACTCATTATCTTTGCTATTTCAAAAGTAAGAGGTCTGAAGCAGATTTTCAAAGGCCCTAGACCAGGTGGCACATCTAAATCTCTGCTGAAGCAAAGCCAGAGAGAACACAAGTCCCAGTCTCAGCACTTCAGCCTTCGGTGTGCACTCCCTTCGCAGGAAGGTCAGGCTCTAAATTGCAGAAGTTTTCTGCTACATTTTCTCTTAAAATCATTTGCATTCAAGCCATGGTAGCAGGCTTGAAATATTTATGTAAAGGGGACAGTTACCTGCCCATCCAGAGCACGTTCTGCAGCTCTTTCAGCTAAAACAGAATGGAGCAAAATGTCACCTTCAGATGGAGTGAGTTTTGCAGAGCACAGGAGAAAACATTGAGGAGTTGCTTGGAGTGGTTACTTTGGTTTTATTGTTGCAAATACTGCATAGGGCCTTTAAAACATAACTGGCTTATTATTTATCATTTTCACAAAACCTGCTAAAGATTAACACTGGCTTAAGAAATTTCTGCCTCTCCTGGTGATCTCCACTCCCCAGTTATGCCAAATGAAGTTAAGAATCAGCAGTGGAGAGGCAGGAATGAGATCTGTAACATTAGGGCTTTTCCAAGGCAATGAGGAGTTACCTGGAAAGGACAGAGGTTCAG